GCTAGCCCGGCCTGACCCATAAACTGTCAGTCTGTATGGGTTAGCTCGGATGGGGTGGGCTAGCCCATATTGACACCTCTAATTATGTTTGATGATATAATTGTCTTGTTAAAACTGAGTGATGTTTTTATCTAGCGATTAAACATCATTTTCTCTATTATTTTGTACATGAAAAATACAGAATATGATAATTTTCTTGTTAGAGTAACTCTCTCTGAGAAAAAAATTATGTGAAATTTTTTTATAATCAATAGCAGTTATAAATAAATTAAGGCCATTAAAAATGAAAACCACAACATCATAAATAAATTTTCTTACAGACAATCTACTTGTTTGAGGTCAAACGAAGGAGAAAAATAACTTTGGAATTGTCATAGCAAAATAATATTGTTGACCCTTTTAGAAATTCATTACTCATTAAACTGTTGCTTTGAAGGTCCTTCTAGATGTTTCAGCAATGTCACTTTATGACTTTTTCAAAAATATGTATGTCTAATTGTTGCATTATATAAAAGTACAAGTAGATCAAAATGTTGGAGTCTAGTCTCATGTTAAAGAAATATTCTCGAACATTAAAAATTTAAATATGAGTCCAATCTAGACAACTCAAAAACGCTCAACAATGACCTGGTACATGAAAGATAACAAATCTATGTCAATAGACATATTTTTTGTAGCTTAAGATATTACTTTTATTAAGAGCATGTTTTGTTTCATATTATTCAAATTAAGCTTGTCGAAAATAGTCATAAGTCACATAAAAAATATTTAGAAGAGCTGAATGAGAAGGGAAAAAAAGAAAAAACATTACAAGGACAAAAATTTTGTCCAAGTGAGATCATATACATACAAAACGAAAAATAACAACACAATTTTAAGGAGACAATAAAAGAGCGAGAAAAAACATACATTAAAGGAAGTAACCATGAGATATTCAATGATGATACAAATCATTCTAACCAGAAAAGTTCTTACATTTTGAAAAAACATACCTCAAAAAATTGACTAACATTTCAATCAACTTTCAATCCTTAAAGTACTCATAATATCCATTGATAAAATTTAGTAAAAATAGATAACAATATAAAAACAAAAAAATATTGGCAGGCAAAGTTATTAATTCTGAGGAAATTTTTCTAAAGAAACAAAATTTCATCCTTGAATGTGAAGGAACTACATTGTTGATGAAAAAATTGGAGATCTATCAGGGCTTTTTTATTGTCAGTCAAACATTTCGATAGAGAAAACTTGCTTAAACACTCAATTAACATTTGTTATTTAATCTGTACTAACAAATACTTATAACAATAATTTTACGAAAACAAAAACAACAAAGTTTCAAGCATGTACTTAAAAATAACATTTAATAACATAAACATAAATTAATTACTTTAAAAAAACATATCAAGATTTATAACAATAGAATGAAACAGAATGAAAAAAATCCAGTTCACTGATTGCACAGTGTCCCCTTAAGGAAACTATTCTCCTCTATAGCCAAGATTTAAAGGAACATATCCTCTCACGATAGAACGTTTTGATTCATGACCAATGTAGTGAAATAAGAACAATGATGTCAGCGAGTCATTCGAATAAGCAAAATACATAAATATTTAATTGATTAGAAGAAGAAGAAGAAGCTAAAAAAATTTCGTTGTTTTAAAATGAGAGGAAATTCCTCTATTTATAGACATCAAAAGGTAGTTTGAACAAATATTTATCGTGTCTTATCGGAAAGGTCACAAATCCTTAGGAAAGTCACAACTCTTCGGAAATATCACAACTCTTCATAAAAGTTACAACTTCTCATAAAAGTCGTAACTCTTCGTGAAAGGGGAATGCTAGTTTTGAAAATAAAGTGTAAATTAACAGGATATGTTGGTTTGTGGATGTGTCACATAGGGGGGCCTAGGGATTTCTTTATATATATATATATATATATATATATATATATATATATATATATATATATATATATATGTCCCATAGTTTTAATATGAAATTACAGTCTATCCCTACTAATAAGTTTCTGTCACGACCCAAAATCGGGCCGCGACTGGCACCCACACTTACCCTCCTGTGTGAGCGAACCAACCAATCTAGACCTTAACATTTCAATATAATATCAACATAAAGTAATGCGGAAGACTTAAACTCATTAATAAAAATCAATAATCAACTTCTATAACTCAAAACTTATCATTCCCCAAAATCTGGAAGTCATCATCACAAGAACATCTATAATCAAATTACTAAATTAAGAGTATTCTAAGAAGCTAAAAATACATAAGAAGCTAGTCCATGCCGGAAGTTCAAGGCATCGAGACTTGAAGAAGAAGATCCAGTCCAAGCTAGAAGCATTAGCTCACCCTGAATTTCCGATGTAGTAAGACTGGCTTGAATTACTGTTGAGTCGAAGACGACGGCACGTTTGCTGCACTCCACAAATAAACAAGAAGAAAACAATAAAAGTAGGGGTCAGTACAAAACACGGGTACTAAGTAGATATCATCGGCCAA